CTAATTTGCGATGTGCACCGGTGGCCCGGCCATTTATTTTTAATACATCTTCTCAGATTAATTCACTGCGTGTCGTGCCATCAGTTAACCCTTCGCATGCCAGCTGTTGCACAAGTGCCCAAGGTTGCCGACCCCTGGTCTAAATTACAAACATGTCTGGGTAAACACTGCAGGCATTTTCCAATTTTAGTGTTCCCACTCAATACTGTTCTTCACCCTTTGATTCAAAACATTTTTGATCATTTCATAAGTTGAGAGCCAGAGTAATGGGACTGTAAGGCTAATGTGGTACAATGCAGAAATGAAGATACTGCAGAACTGCACTGATAACATCGCCCTCTGTCTTATTTTCCACCTTGTTTGCCACTTAGTGTCTCAGAAGGCTTTTCTTATTTCTCTGTTTTGTGCCTGTTCCCCCATCTTGTCTTAGAAAATAATTGTAGACGACAGCAGAAAGAGGCTTGCCAAAGAAGCTATAACCAAAAATGCAACGTATGCCATAGAAGCCAATGCTTTGCGAAAACGAATGAAGGTCTTACTGGACAAGCGTTTGTCAGGATCCTCTGTGTCCTCATCCACTGTGTCATCTGGGACAGCATCCCCCGGGATGGCTTGCATCTGCACCCCTGGAGCATGAGGCAGCATCCGCAGGTTCTCATACAGCCGCTGCCTGAAAAGTCACATACTGATCATCTGCATTTCAATTTCTTTATTAATCAATTGTTGTTGTACATCACTTTTCTAGCCTAGCAACATTTTGACATTGTAATGTGAAGGTGGTTGTTTCCTTTCCACTGCTGCTTGCTCATAGCAAGGCAACATTTTCTGCCTGTTATTGTGGGTCTTAACGAACTTCAAATCGATGTTGTTGTGTTTCAGTGATAAATAGAACAGAATAGAATAGAACTAAAAAAGCTGAATTGATATGAAGGCTGATATAAGTACAGTTAACTAGAGTTGACTGACAGATTAATATATAAGGGGAATAATGACTGTAGAACTGAATGGGTCGGTGATAGATGTTTTGCCAGGCAGAGGCGTCAGAGTGTTGAGAGTGTGTCTGAATGTGTGGAGTACTGGGCAGATTGTTGGCTGTACGGAGGAGCAGGGGAAATGAAAGGAGCAGAGAATCCAGAGGGTGGAGAACTAATCTGAGCAAATAAAGAGTCAAATCTAGAGCACAGCCACCAAACTGGATGGCTCTCAGGGTGGGTTTCAGGCCTGAGAAGCAGCGCAGAGGAGGTGAAGGGCTACGGATTGAGGTGGGGCAGCGTGGACAGTGGAGAAGCTGCAGGTCCAGTTGTGGACGGTGACTATCTAACTTTTACAACAATTCATTTATTAGTTAGCCAACTGTAAGGTCAGCTTTCTAAGTTCACTCTGTTTTCATTCCTTCTTTATTTTAATTAAACTAATACCACACTGTCCAAAATGTATTTTTAACTTGTCAATAACATTCTTTTTCCACAATTATTCCAAATCTCCAGCAGTTCTAGGCTTGGAATTCTGGCAGTTCTAGAAAGAAAACAAATAGTTTCACATTTGACATACTTGATTTTGTCCATATATTCCTGTGAGTTCTGGTTGGTCATGTTGGAGGGGCTAATGTGGAGCTTGAAGTCAGGCCCGAAGTACTCAAAGTAGTCATTGTATGGCAGTTCTACAACAGAAACATCATTGAGATGAGAAAAAAAAAACTGCTGGAGAAAATCTGTCGAAAGAGGAATCACGTTAAAAGAAAAAGGGGTGCTACCACACCTGTTAAGATTTATTGAAGCTTTATAACCTACACTGATCATGAGTGAGGGCAAGATGAAGAGAAATGTGTAGGGAGGTTAGTTAATGTGTTGAAATCCCGTTAAGAGAACTGCTGTCCCATTCCACGCTCTAATTACATCCCCCCTCTTTATGTGGAAATCTGACAGTCTGCTGACTCAGCTCCTTGTGAGCAAAGGCAGGAAGCAGGTTGGCCCTTCCCTGAGGTGAAGTTGACTAAAAACTCCATCACCTCCAACAAGCCCCACACTGCAGGCTACAGACACACACATTAAACTTTAAATGACCAGCATCACTGTTTGACATGCTCCACTTATTTGATCTATACCTGCAAAATTTAAAAAGAATATACATATGGTCCTGCAGTGATATTTATTTTGTTTTTTAGGCTTTGTTGAGTCAAGCTTGTCTATGGCAAGCATAGTACACTCCTCTGGCACCAATTCTTAAGAAGCTAGTAATTGCTAATGTAGTCCGCAGTCTCTAACTTCACACAGAGATCAAGAGAAGGCTATAGAGGTCTTTATACACCCAGATTATTTCAGCCTCAGCAGGGTCTACTTTAACTAATAATTAGATAATATATCAGTTAAGTGGTGAGCACAACTACTCAACAAGGCTATAAAGCACTGCTGCCCTAAATAAATAACACTCAAATTTAAATTAACCATATGGACTGTATGTGTGTGTTAACCATCTTGGATCTGTCCAACCATCAGTTCAATTTTCAATTCAATTCCACCTGAGAAACATGGAGTCAGACTTCGAGGTGCTCGTTCTCGTCTCAACTAACTTCAAACTCAGTTGCAAACCACCCAAGTGCAAGCTGGAGGTCATAGCT